AATCGGGCGCATGGTGATGCGTAGCGCAAGAGGAAAGCAACTTCGACACTCCTCCAGCAGCGCAACGCTTGAATGACAACGCTCAGGTTGAGCTAGATGTCAGCTGTCCAGATGAATGCAGGGGTGGCCGTGAGGTTCTGGCTTGAACCTGAAAGAGTGGTGCGACCATGCTGAAGCAGTCAAGACAGGAGAAGCATGGCGGCGATGAATTTCTTTAGTGGTGAAGGATGTAGGGGTGACATACATGATGGGGTGAAGATCGTTTTTGAGTGTGCATGATTTCCATTGACCTTCCGTATGATCCGCTCTGGGATTTTGCAAATCCACAAACCTCCCACTCAGTGATGCAGCAGCTAGTGGAAGAAGGCTTGGTTGCTGTTGTGTTGGGCGGCCCACCATGCTCAACAGTTGCTCGCTCTCCACATGTCCCCTTGGGGGAGGCCCGAGACCCCTTCATTTTAGGCGGCGTACGGCGTCAGATGCCCAGGGCCGTCTTCGCATCGCCAACATGGGAGGTCAACAGGTGAATGTCCAGAATGAAAGCGGCTTTTACGCCAGGATTTTGCAGACACAGCCTGCGGATTTGCGCAGAGTCTTTGCTGGTTGTGGTTGGAAACCTTGAAGCGCTTCCTTCTAGCCACCAACAGGCTCTTTGCGCCCAGGAGCAGCCCTCAGCATCTGAGTCAGGCCCGGGCCCGGGAATAGTGCTGCTGAATGAAGAATGTTCACTACGCGAGTGGATACAAAGAAGACGCTCCTTTTGCGCACGGCGTTGTTTACTATGGCTGATTGCAAAACGGTTCATGTAGAGTGGGTATGTGGGTTTTTGTCAGACGAGAGCTGTCGTCAATACCAAACTCACCTCATGGACCAGTGTCAGCCGGTGGTGGGAGTTGGCCAGAGAAGAGCGCCAACACACCTGCAAAACCAGAGAACCTATAGGGTAGTTCTTGCCTTATGCAGGCAACAGCGCACTGTGACCTCCTGCGGGAAATTGCAAGCTTCTGCCATGCGCAGGCATTTTGGCAATTTTTCGAATCCTTCGGCTCTTGGCCTTGTGCAAGCAAACTCAGCTTTGTTTTTTGCCTTGCGCAGGCAAGCGCAGGGGCAGCGTTCTGTTGTTTGAAAGAGGCAGAAAAGGCTTGAGCGTAAACGTGTATTAGCAGCAGCAAAACGAAGCTGCTGGCAGCTTCTTAGCAGCTCCAAAATGGAGCTGCCTGGCAGGTTAAAGCATCAGTAACAATAAAATTTTAAGTACCAAGCGATGGTTTTGCGGCTGGCTATTTGAAAGCACCGCTTTTATCCTTGGAGCCTTGTTGTTGGGCGGCCAGAGCGGACCAGCGCCCAATCTTTCTGAGAAAACTTCAGACGTGGCAGTGTGGGCTTTTAATGCGCTAGCTGGCACCCCACCGACATCGTCATCTCCGTCGCTGCCAGCAGTCTCTCCACAGTAGCTAACCTGTGGCATGGTGTTGACTTGACCAGTCTCCACGCCAGGCGTTGCGAGGGCAGGCTACCCCGCAAGCTCTCTCCTTGATTCCATGTTTGGACGCCGAACTTGTTGAACAGCTCACAGCTGTAGTGAAACCGTCAGCCTTTCTATGCTGAACCTCCAAATTTCTTTCGAAGAGTTGGTCCTCGACGGGCAGTACCATGCTGGCCGCATTTGGGGGCAACCTTCATGGCAGTGGCAAGCAGCAGCTACAGTTTGATGCAACCCATGTCACCTTCACCCCCCGATGAGTTAACCCACTTTGGACAAGTGCTGACTTTGCTTTGCCAGACGCTTGCTCAGCTCCTTGTCCCGTCAATTAGGCGGGCAGTCGCGTTTCATGCAGCCAGGATGTTTGTCAACTCAGGCTGAGTTTCTCAGCTGGTTATTTTGGGGCTGTGGTCATGTACAGCTCCCTTATTTTAATTTAATATCGTATGACGCTTCAACCTCTCTCCGTTCAGTCATGTGACCCGGGCTTGGACTCGTCTAGACACTCTTCGTGGGAAAAGGAGGCTAGGCGAGAAAAGGAAGCGGAAGCCTAAAGCTGTGAACCATGGATAACCTTCAGCTTGAGGAAGTCAAAGGACCTGGCTGCTGAGAGGGCCGGGAAACAAGATGGGAGAGAGACCTAGCGGCGTGAAGGCGAATCAAAAAACTTCTTTTGGATCACTGCATGCTTGCCACCGGGAGTCCACGATGTATTCTAGGAGCTTCTTCTGCCATGTTGCTGTAAGATTCGCAGCGATGCATGGGGAACACTGCAAAGGGCACAGTGGCCCAAGCTGAAGAAGGTGGATTTGAACGCGTGCCCCGTCCAGTAGAGCGGATGTTTGTCGATCAGTACCTCCTAGGCGGAAGGGCATGGACTTTGAGCAGGAAACTGTGTGGGTTTAAAGCTTCAGGAGTGATTCGCAAGCCTTTTAGCATGGCAACTTCATTTTGGATCTTCTAAGCTCGAAAGACTTGCTGAGGGTTGTGAGATGTTCTGAGGGTTCGATTGCCTTTGGGCTTTTCAATGTCTAAGCAGGTCCATGTCCTTGAGGTGCTTCGACGATGAAACCATAGGCGCGAAAGGAGCCAAAGACCTTTTGGTGGCCTTGGCTTCGAGCGAAGAGCTGGAGGAGCCCTTTGCCCCTTTGCCCATTGCACATTGCGCAAGCATGTCCAAGCCCAGTTGCTCCTTTGCATTCGCAGGAGCTTATTCTGGAAAATTGCTATGCGATTCCCAGCGATGCATGGGGAGCGCTGCAACGAGCACGGTGGCCCAAACTGAAGAAGGTGAATTTGTTCTGGCGCCCCGTCCAGTAGAGTGGATGTTTGTTGATCACTGCCTCTTAGGCGGAAGGGCAGAGGACTTCGAGTAGGATACTCTGTGAACTTCTCATTGCGTTGCGAACTTAACGCGGACCGCTATTTCTCCATCAGCCAGCCAGCCCGCCAGATGGGCGGCCGGCCCAAAAACCAACGCTTCAACCGGCCCGCCGACGGGCTGGCCAAAAACCACGGGCAACAACAACAACAACAACAACTACCACTACTACTACTACTACTACTACTACTACTACTACCCACTACCCACTACCCACTACCCACTACCCACTACCCACTAC